GGAATTGCGGTTTTTTTTTTTTTTTTTTTTAAAGAGCCAGGATGCTAGGGCTGGGCAGGGCAGCCACACACATGGCTGGGAGAGTGGACAGGGGTCAGGGGAGCAGTGGGGGGACCAGTGGGGATCCCCCCATGGTCCCCTTCCCCCTCCTCCAGTCCCCCCCTCTCTCCGCCCCCTACTTACTGGCACAGAGTCCAGGTCCAGCTCCCTGCGGCAGTGAGCAGGGACTGCCTGAATCTCCAAAGCTCTCCGAATATTTTCTGAATCGATTCAGAGAGCTTTGAATCGATCCAGACCTTTTACTGGTCTCCCGATTCGATTCAGAGATTCGGCCGCCGAATCGGACTGAATCTCCTCCAAATTGAATCAGCACCCGAAGCGTCGCACAGCCCTAATGGATATGCACAGAGCAAGGGTACCAATTAGAAAGGAATAAAGTCATTTAAATACAAAAGATAGAGAAAGGGGAAGGAAAGGATAGGGGTAGAGGGCAATGCTGATGGGAGGCAAAAGTGATTTGAAGAGCTCAAGAGGGATGAACAAAACAGTTCACCCATTATAAAAGTTTTAAATGTTAGGCCAAGTAATGGAACAAGAATCCAGAGTGTGTTTAGTTCACTCTTCAACCCACCTTCCTGTCTCTCAGCAGTTACTCTCAGGTGCCACCCTACCTCGCATTTTGAATAGCAAAAAGTAGTTCTTTTGCCCCTGCATGAAGATGGATTATATTAGCTGCCAGCTGAACAGAGTTGTTCCACACCAGCATATAGCACTGAATTACTGCTGAGTAAATTGATGCCAACTACAAGGGACCTAATAGGCCTCCAATAGGTAGGTTAACTGCCATATTTACTCAAACCCATGGGACCTGAGACTGAGGGGAGATGCCCAAGAGGTGGGGTCAACAGGCAACAGAGGTCCAGAGGCAGGGGTCAAACCCCACTTCCACATGCCTACCTCCTGCTCTCCCCCTTGACCTGCCACAGTTTCGCACTGCAGTGCTGGGGGACAAATTTAAGATGACCCTCCAATTAGATTCTGTATGTGGAAAATTGAAACAAAATTTTAAATTTTCTATGTATAAAATCTAATGATGTGGGGGGGGGAGTGGCAGTCTTAAATTACGGATTGTTTTGGATTCAGGTGAACGTTTAACAAATATTAAACAAATGCTTCATGAATCCTCTAATCCTGTTTCTCTGGTACTTTGGTATCATGCTTTAAAGTGACATCATCAGAATTTATTTATCACCCTATTTTTAAATATTTGTTTGAAGTAGCAACTTCCTCCTGTGGCCGTCTGTCAGTTCTGTTTCAGAATCATTGTACTGTTCCCTTCCATTGTACTCTTAAAATATAATACAGTCTTGCCCTCCAAACCTTCAAAACCTCAACTTAAGAAGGAATACTAGAGTGATGTCTTTGCACAAGTGGTAAACGTATGGCTGTTTAAGAAGTCTTGAAATATATTAATATGACCATTTCTGTCACAACAATAATTTAGTTACCTATGCTGTAATTCATGTAGCTAACATCCAGTACATCAATACCAAATGTCTTGTTATTCAGCAGAAATTATCAGCTGTTTCTGCAATTAATACAATGCTACAAGATTTTAATGGTTTCTTTCTTTGCAATATTTAACAAAATTGCCTTATTCAAAGAAATGAGTTGAGTTTCCTGTTTCTTTAGACCTCGGGCAGCCCATATATTCATAGAAAAATCTTCACTACAAACCATTTTTACAGAATGTAGGCAACTCTTTCCTGTAACCAAAGAGTCTTAGCTTCCCTTAAGATAGGTCACTAGAAGCAAAACACAAAGGAGGAAAAAAAGCTTTCTTAAGTTCTATAAATATTATGAAACTGCACAAGATTTTCAGACAGCCCATAACACATGAAATTATGGCCATAAGTATCACCTCCTACCTGTTCTGGTCTAAGGCCTGGTGGAACCCAAGCATATTCTTCTAAGGCACAGCCAGAATCATCATCAGATGTTGAGCTTCGTTGACACCCAAAAGTAAGATTGTTTACTTTTGAGTCCATCTCCAAAGGCATAATGTAGTGCAAAGAGAAGAGTTGGATATCTAGTTGCAGTTCATGCAGCAATGGTTCTAAAAAAGATTAGAAAAGTATGTTAACAAAATTGAACAGGAAAAGCCTGCTGACTATCTCCACATATGGAAGTGATGTTATGATAAATGAAGAGATTTGGATCTATCACACTATACATTATGCACTGTATGCTGTGAGCTGTTTGAATGTCCCTCCCCCTCCAAAACACCCCCAACCTAGCATGTTTAGCAACAAGAAATATATGCTTCCGTATTTTGCACACACAGTTGTTGGTTTATTTTATATTTACATACCTAAGTAATAAAGAATTGCAATACATTAAGCAGACATTAAACACAAAAAAATGCTGCGAGTTCCTTATGAAGTCACTAGCAATTTGAGAGATGAGCAATCACAGGACAGAGTGCTTGCCCAGAATATAAACATTTCCAGAAAAAGACTAACTGTACAAGCTTGGTTTGTAACCTAGTAGACAACAAAGCAAGTGACAGAAGTCTAACTCGGTGACACCCAAGGGGTGCACCACGGCACATTAATGTGCTGCAAGAGCTATGGAAGTGTGCCATGAAAAATAATACTTTTTTTTTGTATTTAAAACATACAGCATTATATTTCCAAGCCAGAATTTGTAAGACTATTCACTCCACACAACATTCGTAAATTGACATCACTCCACAAAGCAATCGTGGTGAAGACGTGGTGCAGTTTATACGTGTCTGCAGGCACTTCAGCATGGTAGGAAAAAAGAAAGTTGTGTGGGGTCTCTGTTGAGTGGAGAGAGTGGTGCCTTTGTTGTAAGCTGGTACAGTCAAGTGCTTCTGAATTAATTCAAGATAATTCCTCATCTCTACAAGATAAAATTAGCCAGTCCTTGCAATTGCTCCCAGTGAGTCTATGTGACTGGGTGTGCAATGCATTTGTTATGGAACCACCTGAAAACACTTCCCAATTGTCATAGGAGAAAAAGAGCAGCTGGCTAAGATTCAGACTGCAACCCAGACTGAAATTTGTTGAGCTACCACTGGACAAAATCTGGATAATTATTGCCAAAGAATACCCAGCAATTGGGAGCAAGGCAATAAACATGCTGTTATTATTTTCAACAACATACTTGTGTGAGCTCAGATACTCATCAGTAACAAACATCAAAAACAAGAAACAAGAACAGCCTTTGTTAGTTGACGAGATGCAGTGTGTTTGTCAATGATTTGCCCTCAATTCGATTTTCTTTGTACTCAGCATCAAGCTCATATTTTGCACTGATATTGATGTTGTTAAATTAGAAACTAATTTATCCTTATAAAAATAAAGAAGTATATTATGTTGATATTCAGTCTTTGTGCTATATTTTGAAAACGGGCGCGTGTGTGTATTCTTTCACAACTGACCTACGGATAGATCCAACTCTACTAATGCTAGTAGTGGGTATAGACCAGCCATAAAATATTTTGCCACATTGCTCAGAGTAGGTCTAAACAACACAGCAGTATAAATATTTGTTTAAGTAATACTACATTTGTCTCACCATTGCAGATATCAGTGGAATTAAACCAGCGCTAAACCACTGAAGGAAGAACAGCTAAATTATCAAATTAGACAAGGACGGCCTTAAGCATAACATCCAACATATCCATAATATTATACTGTTGTTGTTCCAGCATGATCTTTCTCATCATAAACCCATTCCTTAGAACTAGGTGTTGTAGGTGTGTTTGTGTGAATGGCCTCCAAGTTAAAAGAACAGCAATACACACCTTTCTACATGTTATGTACACCTTCTTAAAATATACATTTATATCAAACCATTTCTTTCCAAGACCCCCAAAAAGATTAATTACTTATCTTACTTTACTACTACTACATTACTGAAAGTTTACTTTAAAATTTTTGTTTGGGAATTAAGTTCACATCTGGCTTGAAGATTTACACACTAATTTTAGCCCACTGCTAGCTAAAACAACTGTTTAAACTTTGAAAAATACTTTTTTATTAAAAATGCCAACAGACTATTATTACAGTGCATAGTTACACTGTAATAAAGACTACTAACATCATAAAATAGTATTTCAAGTAAAACAAGCAGATTTGGCTGGCCAAGCCACCACCATAAGAAGTGCTTATTTTCACAAATCATGTCAGGTATTTTAAGACAGATCCTTAAATTTTACTCCAGTTGAAGTGATAAAATTAGCAAACATGGTTAAATTACAGCTAAATTAAATTAGTTGTTGTTTTTTTTTAAAGGTAAGTGAAAGAAAGCCCTAAATTGGCCTTTTTGTGTTTCAAAGTAGCGTGTGTGCCAGAAGTCGAATATATCCCAAACAACCAATAAATTTGACTTTACTTCACCCTTAACAAAAGTAAAGATGACCTCATTTCCTTTTCTCCTGTTCAGTTTGACCTTTAAAACAAATCATTTTAACACAGGTGCAAGTCATTTATGTTGGAAGTTTAAAAAAATAATCTTTTTAAATATTAGGTCCTGTCACCTATGAAAGCTCGTGTCTTTTTGAACCAGTTAGTCTCAAAGGTGTCACCCTGCTGTGCTTTCTTCCATTCTTTAGGGAATGGCATGATCTCTTTCAGTCAGGCTTATTAATTTAGCGTACATTGTTTATTGTCTCATATTACTATTCCTGGACCACGTGATAATGATCATCTATTGAACAAGTGACTTAAAAGTATGATCATTAGATAGAACTCATTAAACTCCATTTAGATTTCTAAAATTCACAGATAAGCATCTCAGCATATACCTTTAGTCCCCTAAAATATTTTTTGAAAGCAGATACTAAGAAGATAACACACTTCAATTCCAAGGTACTTGTTTTCTCAGCATGTTGGTAGAAATAAAATCACCCACTAGCATCAGAGCAAAAAATCTCAATTTTAGACTCAAGACTTTTTTCTTATTCCCATAAAACAGCAGAATTGTAAAAGCCCATTGGGAGCTTACCAGTAACAGAGCTCAGGCAGGCACTAGCCACAGTCATAATAGTTCTATGATCCTAGCATTGAGGCTTAATATCTTGATCCCTACCATGAATTCAGGATGCATCCAAATAATTCTGAGCTGCTGGATGCATGCATCATATTTACTAATCTCCCGTAAAAGATCAAGTTACTTTGGAAGACAAATCAGGCATCAAATGTGCTGCTTTAGAATGCCCTTGTTTGGAACAAGATAGATTTAAAAAAAAGGAGGAGAGAGAGATGCTAATTATGTGAAACAACCTGAAATTCTCCTCATTTTGCTGCCTTATATACCTCAAGTATTTACAAACTCTTTTCTTTCAAACCTGAATTCAGCTATGACCCATAAAAAAGGAGTCACAAACTTTGGTAATGTTTTATTAAGCAATTAGTGTTGGACAGCAGTATGGAAGAGTAAACTCTTAAACTGTAATTTAACTTCCTTGGCTCTCCAGGTACATTTTAACACCACTTTCAGTGGTGGGCTGTTGACAGCCCTCGTCCCTCTGCATTACCTGTGGAAGGTTAGGGTGCTTTGGTATTGGTTCCCATAAATAAAATAGAATGCGCACATGCACGCGGGCCCCCATAAGAAGAAAAATTGTAAGTATTTCTGCTGTTGAGCATTGTTTTTTTCATCCCTCCAAACAATGTGGTACTGCAAAGTTTCCCACATCTACTCTGCAGTGGTGAAGTTCAGCAACAAGCATATCTACCTTTTAAACCAATTCAATTGTTTCAATAATATAGCACTAGGGAAGAGCAACTCAACATTGGTGGCTCTTATACAATAACCAGATCCTTGGGGGCTCTGTACATAGCTACTCTGGCATGTAATCAATGTTCTGAAATTGATAAGCAGTTTTCTAAAACTGTAACAGATAGTGGTTTGTGGCAATTGCCAAGATCTGCTTAGTGCCCACTACTAATTCCTCTAGAAGGAGAAATGTCCTATTGGTATGGAAAACCTCAATACCTTTTCTTTTGGGCCATCCATGCATATCATCTTGAAATATGAATTAACCAGGAAGGAGAGAATGCCAGATAACCACAAACAAAATTCATATTTCAAGTACAACTATTTTTATCAAGCTCAAGCCAGCGGAACTGTTCCTGGTGGTGGCTCTAGGCTGTTTTTACCCACGCTTTGTGGACAAGACAATCCTATTCAGAAGAAACGAATTGCCTCCAGAAGGAAGGGAGTTTCTAGCAAGGCTGTTACAAATAAAGTGGAATTCTACTGCGTTAAATTGCTCCAATACCCTGAGTAAGAGTCCAGTATTATGTTATGCATACTGTTGATACTTCAGCACAGAATTTCTAATATTAGTCACCAGTCTGCCCCACACCCACCACTGGGGGGGGCAGGTGGGATCTCCATGGAGACTGGCATGCTTGGCCTGGTGGATGTGATGGAGCTGCAGGAAACTACAGCCCTTGGTAACTTATGATTTTCAAGTGTGCCAAGGATATGTAAATGTACCATTTACATCTAAAGGGAGGTTAAGACTCTGGGGCAGTTATAAATTGGAGAGGCTAAAAGAAGAGAGCCCTATAATCATAGATAGGTAGGGTTGGAAGTTACCTCAGCAGATCATCTAGTCATTTGGTCCAACTCTCCTGCCCAAGGCAGGATTATTCCTTTCTAAACCATCCCTATTCTTAACAAATTTTGGGAACAACCTTCACACCAGGCATAATGCCTAAAAAAAAACCATACACACCTTATCTTGCAACTGGTAAAACAGCAGGATGATGAAGGTACTACCAATGTCTTGCCACTGAGAGGAAAGCAAGTAGGTCAGGGTGGGCAAAATACAGCCCATGCACTGGATCCAGTCCACCAAAGAATTTTATCCGGCGCGGTCCCTCAGCTCCTCTTGCACCAAGTGTAGCAGACAGTCCAGGCCATGGCTCATGTGCTGGTCCTATTACCTCCAGGTGTGCAGCAGGGCTAGGGCAGCTTGATAATGAATGCTTCCTGGCAGCCTCAGCTCCTGGCTGCTGCTGCTGCCACCCGTGTCATCACTGCCACCAGACCTGGCCCCTACTGCCTGGGTACCCT